AAAAATAATTTTATAGATAATGTAATTTATAAAATACAGATACTATTTTAAATTTATTTTAAAGTGTAAAACCTAAGAATTAGAGCTCCAGCCCACAAAACGACGCCGTTTTTCTAGTAATAAATGAATGCCTTATGTTCATCCTTTTTAACTCCAATTCCTTTTTCATAACAATAACCAACATCAAACATTGCAACTGCATAACCCATTTCAGCAGATTTTTGATAGTATTCAAATGCTTTGCATTCATTTTTTTCAATTCCGATGCCTTGTTGGTATTTCCATGCTAGTTTGCGAAATTCAGCGCCTGTCTGAAACTTCATTTATATAGTTTGTGTTTACTCTGATCTTTGACAAAAGAAGATTTATTCTCTCAGTTGTTTTTTTAATTTAATTGATTTTTGTTTCGTTTAATAAATTTAATTTAATCTTAATTCATAATTATAGTTATTCCGTGAAAATTATAATAGGCTTATCGCTCTTTTCGATTTAGTTAGATCAACGAACTGCATAATATTTTTTTGAATCCTGCGAGTCCGTGAATACAACATAGATAGCCACATTATATTCGTCGTATTTTGTGAAACTCATTTATCAATAAAAGAGAAATATATGAGTCTCGCGAAATATGATGAAGTTGAAGTGATTACCTTATTGTAATCACATGACTCATGGGAAGTTATACAGATCGTCGATCCAACTAAGTCGAAAAGAACAATAATAAAATATAAATAAAATAAACCGCCTAAAAAATTTTAACTATCATTACCGAGTATTCAAATATTTGCGAATAACATTCCAATTGCAATAATACACAAACATATACATAAATATAACTATATATATTATACGAATCCAAAATAATATCTATTGATTTACAAAATTGTTTTAAATTACTATCGCCATCAAAGTTTACTCAACTTATAAGCATTTATAATGATGCTTTGATTAAAAATCAGCAGGAAGCATTATCTCATTATTTAAATGATATTATATTCATAATTAGGATTTACAAATAAGGGTCTAATATTCAAAATAATTACGGATAGGGGCCCAAGTTAAAAATTATTACGTATAGGGACCTAAAACCAAAATTATGGTCATCTGGTCTCCGAGCTATGTAACGAGACTAGATATCCAGGATTATGCGATGCGAAATTATGCACATAATTTGCTATTTTTTCACATCGCATATGCTTCGCATAATTAAGAAAAATAGGAGATGTGATTGGTGGAAGAGGTATTTGACAGGTGAAATCCCCAAAATTCCGGGTCGGAAGGGCCGGAGTTGATCGATTTTGCCCCAACTAATGAAACAATAGTCGTTCATTAAGTGAAAAGTGCCCAGCTGATAAATTTACTATAGCCTATAGCTCCCGCTAACCCTAACCCAGCCCTAACCCAGACCCTAACCACGACGCATTCCGGCCATTACGACCTGGAAATTTGGGGATCCCCCTGTAGAAAATATTCAGAAGGCTTCGCATAATTGACGAAATCCAAATAAGAAATCGCATAAGTTCGTCCATCGCATCGCATAATTTTGGATATCCTAAACCTAAACAAGACCAAGTGTAAATTCACGTGACTTGTTGTTTATTTATTTTTGGTCGTAGGGTGTCAGGATTATGCGATACTTTGATATATAATTCTGAGATACATCACACTGGTACAGCAATAATTTTTTTGATTATTCAGAAAATGCCGCTTCGCGGCATTCTCTGATCAAAAGAATTATTACTGTACCAACGTGATGTTATCTCATATTATCATACACTTTGAGTGAATCTAATACATAAGGCTCCAACCTTATGAAACACCGCCGTTTATTACTAATTATAAAGTGAGTTCTGTAAAATATAATAAATTTAGTGTTATGCCCATATTGTAATTATATTTTAGCAACTATAAATACTCTCTTTTATTCAATTAATACCTATTAGGGTGTTTCCGAGTTAATATTTTGGAAATAAATAAGAGTTTAAAAAATCTAATTATAATGGTGAAAGTGTCCAGAGCTTCCTATTTCACAGATTAAAATTTAAGTACGTACAGTACAGTACAGAAAATACAGTAAATTAATAACCATATAAATAAGTGCCTATGGAACTTGATTAAAAATAAATTTAGTAAATAGCTTATATCAATTATTTCAACTAAAATAGATACTCTCAATTTAACTTTGAAAATTCTCATTAATAAGACTTTTTTGCCATATAAAAAAAATGAGGCATTTATTTTTTAATATTATTTATTTTCATATTATAAATTCACACTGTGGCCCATGTTCAGAATCATTCGTTAGCAAAATTGTGGAAAATACATGACCAAGTAATTGAGTGCTTGAAAGAGAGGATGATTTAACCGAGTTAGAATCAGTCGTATCGTCAATAATAGAAACAGTAAATAATAGTTCATTTGGTGGAATTTATGTGGATGTTAAAACGAATAAGCTAGTTGTCAATATAAAAGATCCTTCTTTAGAAACATAACTCATTTGAATCCATTTAGAGATTTTCTATAATTTCAAATAAATCTTTAGATGAGTTGATACTTCACCAAAATGAATATAATAGACCATAATCCATACAAATACAAACTTAAATGAATATTAAATTTAATACTAAAGTTAATACAAAACGATTTGACTAGAAAATTATTATGTTTAAAACGAATGATCTTCATAATGATAAAAATTCCTTATGAGTCCACGGCAACCACCACTATACATGGGTGCCTAAATTCGGAAGGATTTACTGCATTACGGCATGCCACTTCAAAATGCCGAAATGCCGAATTATTTTCGGCTGCCGTAATTGCTGTAATTATTTACGGCAGCCGAAAAATGTTTTTGGCTGTCGTAATCATTTTCGGCTGCCAAATTTATTTCTGTTACCGAAAAAAATAAACTCAATTTATAAGTGCCCACCTCAAATTTTGACCAATCGAATTTCATGATCAGGCGTAACATATAGATCGAAAAGAAATTTGGAAACCACTTTTGCAGCCTAATTAAGGATATTTCTTGTGAAAATTTGCCAATAGAATCCGCATTGTTTTAACCCCAATTCTAACTACAACGTGGTTTATTGGCTTTAATTTTACACGCAACTTCTCTGGTATGTTTTGACTCTACATCTGATCTTAATTTTGATTGGTTAAGAATTACAGGAGGTTGTGCGTTACCTAGATGGCCTTTGTAGATATATATATAGTTGCATATATTTTAATTATTATAGACCATAAATGCCCAGAGCGTAGTGGAGGACTCATCTCTTTATAAGGCGATACAAAGGTTATGTTTTTGATGTATTTCGATCATAAAAATCAAACCAGTAATTTAGAAAAATTTTTTCCATCCGCACTCGTTTATATTCTTGTACTTTAGCGTAATAAAGGCATGCCATTACATAGCATGTGTTGTTAATTATATGGGCTCTTGACATACAATGTTACGCATTGTCTAGAAAAATACAGATGATCATAGATATAAATGATGCTAGATCCATGGTGGTCATATAAGTCATTCTGGTTTTGGTACACACATTATTTGTGGAAACATAAAAGTTCTTACAGCATTTTATTTAAATGAAGATGAATCTTCTTCCGAAAGTTTGATTATTACAGACATGAAAATTAATAGTGAAGATGTAGGCGGTCCTGTATTTTTTTATAAATCTGATAATTTACATCACGTAGATCTATTTGATATGCAAGTTACTTCAAGTTTTAATCTTTCTGCTGCTCTACCATCAAATATTATTCTAGAAATAACCAAATTAACTCTTCATAAGCTTTGAGATATTGAAAATTAAGTCTTTTTCATGTATTTTTACCGTAATTATTTAGTGTTTTTATCTCATGGGTATTATATGCATTATTTTTTTTATTTAGGTAAGTTATATGTATATAATATGCATAGACTGACATTATCTTTATACATAATTTTCTTTACTGTTTTTTTTTTTGTTTAAATTAGATATTAAGATCTGTTATTGAATAACTTACTATAGTAAGAATTATTCCGTGAAAATTATATCTAAGTCTTAATAAATAATATGTAAACAAATCTAAAACGCCTAAATAAATTTTATCTACTGTTGATGTGTATTAAATAAATACTTTCGAATAAATTTATTTTTAAGCATATAAAATTGATTTTTTTGGTTCTCATTAAAAAAAAAAAGGAGATCTTGAGAATCAACAACTTGACCTAATTAATACCATTACTGCATTATAGGCACTTTTTTTTCTAAAAGTGGATAATAATTCTAACCAAAAAAGAATAATTCTTGATCCGATGGTTAAATTCGTACAGTAGCACAAAATAAAAGAGATTTTGGGAGTGTTAAATTAAATTGCATTGTAATTATCAGTTATGGTTAGAGTTAAGGTTAGAACCCGCAGTACAGTTAAACTGCACCTCCCTTAGGACCATATGACGAATTTTTAAAAAGTGTTTGAGAGGGTATGTATTTATGGAGGATATTTTCTTTATTATTATATAAGTTTGGGACCATGTCAGAGCATCCGTTTAGGGTGAAATTATAGTCAGTGCGTTTATAAAGGGTGAGATTATAGAGGTCTGACTGTATTAAGAGTGACTATATTTTCAGGCAAGCGATGTTCTCCTATTTGCTTTTAGAAACCTTCTCGCAAAAGTTCTATCCCTTAAAACAATCTTCATACATGTATGATTTTCTAATCTTCTTTCAAAGCACCTTTAATATGTCTTGCCTGTAATACCGTTTATCACTGTATTTCCACATAAAGCCCGTGAATAGTACCAGATACTAATCAGTTCAAGTATGGGTTCTTGAATAAGATCCAAGTATTATGTACAGCGGTAAATAGTAGCAGTTTCGAAATGTGAGCCAGCTGTAGTGATAGAATAAAAAGCACCAGATCTTTTTGTTTTTAATATCTCGAAGGAATTCTCGAGTTGCTTAATGAAATAATTCGATAAAAGAAAAAAAGCTTCAATACTGAACATGGTTGAAATTCCTAGCTCACCCGTCCACCCCTACAATTTTGACTAATCGACTACTTTATTGCAAAACATATAGGAAATACTGCATCTATCTGCGTCTCAATTAAAAATGATCTTTGTGAAATTTTACTAATGAATACTAAATTGTTCTAATCTTTAAATTTATACGCAATTTTTTTTTTTTACTTGTTAGAATAAAGCATTTTTATTTTGGTTGTCACATTACATCTGATCCTGAATTGATTGGTCAAAAATTACAATTTTTGTGAGTGTGCTACCTAAAATGTGCAACCTAAGATCAGGATCTAGTGCCTTTAAGCACATGTCTATGAACATGTAAATCCCTGCATAACGATAATCGGCACATCCGGAACTTTCATTACCACAGTATATACCAGTTAATTTTATGCGATTCTCCACGATGTGGAGTAGTATTTTAAATTATTTAACTGGACAAATGTGACCACACATGATGACATAGTAAGTATGGGGAGAACGCGGGTTTATAAAATCGCTACATCATGCATTGCATAAGATAATAAGCATTAGTCAATTTTTGAAACCTAGATATCAACAATCGGAGTTTCAAGAATGGCATCCGAATGCTTTGTAAAGAACAAATTTAAAAATTTACTTTCGAAATTTTAAGCATTTTATTGTGTATAAAGTTTTAGAGATTTATTAAAGTTTCACATGCAAAAAGTTTCGAATTGCATTAGTAGAACAGCAGATATTGTTGCAGAAAATTTTGAAAGTTTTCACCTGAAAAAAATCAAGAGATTAATCTCATTACTTTCATATGTAATTACTGACTTTACTAATAAAAAAATATATGAAACGATTTATAATGCACCGTATATATAAAATGTATTGTATAGCGAAACTAATTTTGGAAATACGATTTGCTTGAACTTCTTGGTGAATTAGACGATCCGCCAAAATTTGACGTTACAATAAATCGTATTTTTTCTATCTTCGTGATTACAATGATAAAATTTTTTAATATTGTTTGCTTCACAAATCAGAGATCCAATTTGGAATGCGCACATGGTTATCAGTTAGCATTAGGCATGTACATCAATTTTAATGTCTACCCGCTACTTTGATATCTGTTCGATATTGGTGCGTTAAAACTAGAAATGGAAGTTGAAACTTTATTATATTTTACATGTGTTTAAAATTACAATACATGAAAATTTACAATATCTTCAAACATTTAGAACAATGAATATTTCATGTGATGAGTGTATAATAGGTATCATTATGTAGTAATGATAAGCTTGGTGTAACAATAACGCAATTGAGTTTTTTTCATTTTCTGCATTGTGCAAAAAAATTTATGAATTTTATTCATTTTTGACTTATTTGAACGTAACTGTATTAAAGAGTAATTTGCCATGTGAATAAATATTTATTCATGGAGATCGCTAAATTTGATCTTTGCATTACTATTTTAGTTTAGATTCTTTGAAGAACGTTTCGTACGGAATGAATTTTTAAAAGTTAGTAAAACATTTAATGCTTATATTAAAAAAGTATTACCGCCTATACTACTATTTTTTTTTGACATTTATAGTAATTTAATAATTAATTTAGATTAAACTTTTTATGTTTTTGATTACGAAATGGTTGACTTATTGAATATACAAAAAACAGACTAAAATAAGTTAACACTATAGTAATTGTTTCTCGTTACGTGAGCAGCAAATAAGACCTAAACAAAGTCATATTTAATGTATTAATAATAATAATATTATGTTTTATAAGCGAAAAAAAAAAATTATACAGCATATGATAATATAGAAAAGGCTACCCACCGAGTAACGAAATCGTGTTCTTTTTTTACAAACATCCAAAAATATAGACAGCTCAACTGCATATTATATAAATGCAAAATGTGTATGCACTTTAAAATTATTTCTTTTTAATATATAAATTCTACCTCTCTAAATAATTATCACCGCTGCGGCCGCGGCAAATAGTCGACCGAAATTAGTTTTTATAAAAATCATTACCGAAATTACTTGTATCAAAATGCATTAAATAGGATAATTATTTTAAAATACTTTCCCTAAAACACCCTTATTGCGTAGTATTTTATACGTTTTCTCAAACGATTGGTTAATTAATTGGTGTACTTCACCCGAAACCCTTCTCAAACCTTAATTCCAATAAATTCTAACCCTAAAGAAAGTAACAGATATTCGGTTAACATTGTAGGGTGGGTGGGTAGACAAAATCTCAAGTAAATATATACATAGAATCAGATTTATAATCTGTAATAAAAGAACTTATCTAAAAAAACATAATAGGTACAAAAACACGCCTATACCCTGTATACGACCATTTATAGTAATAATAACAATGTTGGTTTTAATAACAATGTTTCTATAAAATGTATAAACAGGATATCGGTTAGCATATTTCTTAATATAAAATGTAAGACAATAATTGTTCGGAACGTAAGTTCCGTTTTTTGAAGTTATGTATTGTCGTTTTGATACATTAATAATAAAATTATCAAAAACGTTAATTTATATATTTGTGTAACACAAAATGCGTCATCGTTTTTTTCAGAACTTACAATGGTTTTCCGTTTCCTGATTTATTTAACAAATTCTGAAAATAATTAATATGATTAATAGTAAATATTCTAGAATGCCCATTCAAATAAATAATAACAAAGGGCGGCAAATGCTGATTTCGAATTGGTTATCCCAATTTTGAACTTTAAAATAGTAAACAAATAATGTAGGCAAAAAAACTCTATTTCTATGCATAATACTGCGCTAAAATTGTAAGGATAGTAAATAATGACGATAATAACAAGCAATAAGGGTTTATACTGTACTAACTATTGAATGTTCCCGCAATCGGTTCCATTGATAACTTTTTGTTGCTCGTTTTTGATGAAAAATATTAATGTCTAAGTTGATCAATAGTTACGTTAATATGTTAATATGTTAATATGTTAATATGTTAATATGTTAATATGTTAATATGTTAATACGTTACATTGGAGGTCTTGGTACTTATGTACTCTTGGTTGGTTGGTTGGTTGGTCAATGAAATTAAAAAAATCGGTTTGAAATTATTACATGAAAGGTTTTTTTGTAAAATAGACAATAATTGTTTCTATAAGGCATAAAGGAACATGGCTTATAGCGAATTACCAATAACCTTGACACAATGATTTTCAACTATCGCTATTATCCTTCATTATCATTTTTTTAATTGCAATAGTGGGACGAGTTATCAATAATTAAATATTTTTCTTTGTTAAATTTCTAACTATCAATTTATAAATTTGGATGCTGATTTGTAGGAATTGAATGGCGGCGGTTTGATTCGCAGTTTTGAAACTCCCTATAAAGTTTGCTCATATATGTATTGACTATTACAGCATTATGTCCATTCTATTCAAATAGGACAATGTAAAGAAAAAAACCGGGAATTACGTATTTGTCTTATGTATGTATGCACACCTGAAACATATTTGAAACCACAACAATGAAATAATTTATTTAGAAAATACCTATAATTTGTGTAACCGACATGTGAGACCAAAAGATATGATGTAATAAATGTGAGTATTTCTGACTCAATTGTTGGATTGCTTTCTCGAGTGTGTATATAAAGCAAATATCATGTCGTTGTCAATTAGATCCGCTCGTGTGGTTCTGAATTTTTAAGATCACAGATATTGAATAACGTATTCTTTAAGATCACAAATATTGAATAACGTTTTCTTTAAGTTTAAAGATCAAAGATATTAAATTAACGCATTGAATACGTGTTGAATTAACGTAA